GGAGAGGTGGACTATCTGCAATGGAAAACAAAGCAGCTGGTGCCAAAAGCAAGTAGAGTTAAGTAGAGTCGAGTCAAGTTGAGCCGGTAGCTGTTTTACTCATTTATCCATTAAAAATCTTTTTTTTAAACAGGTATTTTATTTTATTACCCATCCATATCTGATTTAATTTCACATCCTGTAAAATAAACACTTGTCAATAGATTAAGCTGATCTCAGCTCTGTGACTCAGCTGCCCAGAGTTGAACTATTTCACTCTATCTAATAATTAATGAACTAATCGTTTCAGTAGACATTCACACACATGCAGAACCTTTACACAAAAATGGAATAAGATTGGAGTAATCTGAATCTTGCATAATAAAGAAATCTCTTTCTGTCATTCTTCATGAGTCAACATTCTGATATCGCTATATTTTTCAAACATCAGCTTCCTGCCTGTTGGACTTAGGCTGCAGTATCTGGGCCAGACTCTCAGGTTTCTGCTCTGAAAGGACAGCCTGGAGTGAGCCATTCTCGAGGAATTCATCACTTGCGGTAAATATCCTGGCTGATGTGAGGGCTATTCAGGTGCAGTACATGCAAACCCCAGAGATGTGCTCCACTTGTTTCTATAAATACCTGCGCAGATAAATAAAGCTGATGCTGAAATTTTAGACAAGGCCCGTGCTGCCGTCAGTATTCCTGCAGGTAGACCATGTGTGCTGCAATGGGCCAGTGCATCAATGTTAGTAATATGTGGAGCAGGCAGACAGCTGTGGTGTTTGAATAGTGAAGGGAGATTGACAGGATGTGTGTGTAGGTGGGTGGTGTTAGAGGAAGGGAGGGGGGGGGTTACTGTGGACAGACAGGTGCTCTGGGGCTGAATCACCTTAGCCACCATCTTCCACCCACTGCTAAAACAAAAAGTGTGTGAGGCAGGCAACAACTCTTTCCTCCCATTGTTAGTGGGTGACCGGTTTCCTGTTCCCGCTGTCCTCAGAGAAGCTGTGTTCAGTCGCGTGTGTGTGTGTACTCTTGCTTTAGTAACATGCGTGCAAGTGCAAGAGTGTGTGCCTCTGTGTCTACATGTGTGCATAAATGTGAAGAAAAAAAATCTGCCTACAGTACAGAGCATGCCCTAAACAAAGCCCTCATTCTCCGCAGGGTGGAATTTCCTGCTACACACACATGAACGAACACACACACTTGGCCCTTTACAACCCTTGAACGCAGCTGTTTCTATCTTGTCAGCTGACCCTTATTTTGTTTAGTATGAGGCTAAATAGTGCTGTTTTGCTGTTTTGTCCACTACCTTTGTAGTCAAAAGGCCCTGAGGCTCTGGAATGACCCACTCAAGCAAATAAAATTGTGTGATCCACTCTGTAACTTGGTTTTTATTTAGGTTCTATACAAAATAAAGATTATCACCACATAGAGCAAAGCAGATTTTTTTTAAATGCTGGATTTAATATCCTCTACTGGTGAGGTGAATTTTCTCATATCAGTCTTGGGAATTAATGTTCTGTGGCTGTTTTATTTGGTGGAAAAACCTAGCAGACAGGAAGATAAGAGGTGCAGGAGTAAAGTAAAATAGGGATATATCTGCATAAGTCATTACAGTAAAGGAAACTGAACAAAATTGTACAGCTCACCTGGACTGTCCACACGTTTGTAGTGGTAGGGGTTGATACACACATCCTTCTGTTTGGAGCCAAAGGGGTACTCGCAGCACTCCAGGGCCTTCAGCTCATGGTGGGACTGCAGATCAGGCCAGCGCCACACACGGCAATAGATGACATGAGGCAGACCTTTCCTGTGGGACACCTGCAGCCGTCCATCCAGGGAGCGGGGGATTGTCACACAGTTACTGGGTTGACCTGGGCAGCTGAGAGCTCTCTCCAACTCCTCCATGGCTCCCTTCTTCTTTTTCAGTTTCTTTACCAGAGCATCCACTGCTTTTTCTGCCCATTTCTCTTCCTCGTCCCCCTGTTTCCAACCCAGTAACCGTTTGACTGCTGGGCTGGTGAAAGAGAAGAGCGAGGTGACGTTCATGATGGCCAAGCCGTCCTCCTCCCCTCTCCTTTGTGTCCAGCAGGAACAGTGAGCAGTCTCAGTCCAGTCTCAAAAGACAAAGGGTGAAATATTATTTAAGTGTTTGGTTTTTTTGGAGACTCAGATAATCCTCAACTTCGAAGACGTCAGATAAGGTCCTCCTGACAACCGCTTACTAGAAGAAAAGGAGACGTAGATTAGCATCTGGGAGTAAAAATCTCTTATTATAGACATTTCACACACTTTGCAGATCAACTAAATTGGCTGCATCATTTCTCTCACAAAGTTGCTGTAACTATGACAAACATCAGCTTCTTCCCCTATTACCTCACTAGCACCAGTGTCTTACCATTATAGCCATCTGAGTCATGGCTTTTGGGAAACGGTCAGAGAAGTCACACGGATGCCCTCCTGCAAACACCAGCTCTGACTGGACATTCTCCAGATTGTTTCCTGCTTGTCACATTACCACCAGTCACTAACATCAGTTAATACAGCAAAGGGCTATATACTTTATACAGCCAACACAATCTAAAAGAATTTGGCCTGCAACTATAACACACCTGTCCTTTTATTCAGCAGCTATTTCATAGCTGTGTCAAAACTCTTCAAGCAGCTGAAAACTCCAGCAGGGCTACAACTAACAAATATTTTTATTGTTGATTTTTCTGACTTTTTTCTTTTTTTGATTAATCAAGTTATTGACAGACCCGTAAGCATCACAAAATTTTCAGAGCCCCAATTAACATGTTCAAATGATTTTTTTAAGTCCTGACTTATTTACCTTTACCTTAATGTATATTTCTATTGTTGTTTGTTTGTTTTGGCATTTGAAGAAAAAGAGAAAAATAGAATAATTCATTTATTGCCAATCTACAGTGTTACATATGACCAACAAACAATTTTACAATCCTTTCTGTTGTTCTCTCACCAAAAATGTCTTGGTTAAAGTTAGAGCACAAACAGTATTTTCCTGATGACTCTACATGTAATCATGTATGTGAAATTTGTAAAGATCTTTCAGATTTTTAAGGAAGGAGACTTTCAGTGACCTTCCTCGGGAGGCAAATGTTCTGCAACACAACCAACAGTGGGTTTGGGCATGAATCTGGCAAAGTGTGGGACAATAAAAAGGAAGCTCATGTTGACCCCAGGATAAATATGGCCATTTACTCGGGTCCCAGAGGATCAAGTCAGCAGCCAGGAGGTGCACGCATTCTGGCTTTTAAAAGGGAAAACAAAAGGGCATCAAGCTCTCCAAGTTCTAGCTTCTCAGAGTTTTTCTGATTCCAGTTAGGGAGATAAAAACACAGTTATATTTGAGGTTTGACTAGATATAAATATTGAGATGCAACCCCAGAATCAAATAAACAGTTTGTCAAAAATCCACCACTTTTCATCCTTCAGCCGTGAAGGGTGAGGACGCATCAGTTTCTGACAGTAAAGCCTGAGTATACTGGATTTCCTATGAGCAGGAACAAATACAGCATTAAGGCAGCTCTGTAGTTATTCTTGGCCCTTCAGATCATGGGATAAATAGTCATTTCTATCTTTGTCAGCTACTGCATAGGCTACATCTGACAATTGGGCAGGGAAGTTTGATAAGAACAGGTGCTGTTTCCAATGTGTGTATGTGTTTCTGTATATCTGGTTAAGGCCCTTAACACTTACTACTGTCAACCACACTTACTGGAAAGCTGCACGTTGCAACTAAGCTTGGCCACCTGAGCCAGACTGACTAGTCAAAAGTGACACCGAACAAACATCTAGTTGGGAATCCACACAGAAAGCAAGATTTGAGTGATACGCAAGTGCTATTGAAGAGTGATTCCATTCAATCCAGGCTGAAAGTGAGATGTGAGCAGCACGTTCTGTGTCTTGAAAGTCGTTAGAACAGCTGTCTGTGGGCACAAGTCTTTACCAGGCCAACCAATAACACACGTGTACTGGACAACAAAGTCATGTAAGCTCTTCAGGAAGAAATCGCGTTTTTATGTAGCCACGTAGCCTGCGGATTTATTGATTTTCCCTGGCTCCTTACAGAGAGGGAAAGTGAAAGTGAAATTCAAGCAGCCTGATCAACCTTAATACATTCCATGAGTATACGTCTCATGTACGTGTCTTGGATTAAGTGTGGACTGAAATATCTGACATAATGGAATTTTATCTGCAGGAGACAGGAGGGAGATTCACATAGAAAACACTTTCAATGTGGATTAGAGGTAAGGAAGGGGGTATTAGGCTGGACTAGGGTGTGCCTATTTAAGTATTTCAGATTAAAGGAAAACATATCTAGACACAGATATCACATTTGTCAAGACATCACTGTTATATCACCCCGCTTCTAGCACAAATACTGCTCTCCACCATCAGTAGGACAGGAAACAGGCTGTGTAGTTATGTCTTCATATCTGTCAACACAACAGCACGACATCACTTCCTCTTGCTGAGACCTGCAGGCTTTTCCACAGGTGCAGGGTGGGAGAGAAAGGGGAGTTTCCTTAACTGTCCATTACTGACTTTTATCTGCCACTCTTCTTTTTTCTTCCTTCTTTTCTCTCCATGAGTTAAAGCAGTGGGGGATGGCATATTCTACCTGTTATTGATGCTGGTTGGGGAAATTTGGGGAAATAATCTAATTGCGGTTTTATTTAGCAATATTGAAATTATCTCAAGTTAATATAAACACAGCTAACATTATATAGTTTGATACTTGGCAGATAATAATAATAATAATAATAAAAAACCTTATTTATATAGCGCTCTACAGCTCGCGAGAGCACCAGAGTGCTGTACAATCAAAAACACAGAACATAGAGCAAAACTAAACCAACTTCTGAAAACATAAAACAAAAGACAAGTTAGGGCTCGAAAGCCTGCTTAAAAATGTGGGTCTTTAAGGCCGATTTAAAGGCCACTAGATCGCTTTCCGCCCGTAGTACGACCGGCAGGGCATTCCATAGTTTAGGGCCACAGACAGAAAACGAACAGTCGCCCCACTTTTTATAGCGAGATCGCGGGACCACCAGTAACAAATGATGATCAGATCGGAGAGCTGTCCGCGGCACATAAATGGCCAACAGGTCAGAAAAATAGGATGGTGCAAGGCCATGAATAGCCTTAAAAACAAACTGTAATATCTTGAATTTAATTCTGGATTGGGAGCCAGTGAAGAGCACAGAGAACAGGGGAAATATGAGCAAACCTGGGAGCATTAGATAGCAGCCGAGCTGCTGCATTTTGGACTAATTGGAGTTTGTTGAGCAAAGACTGAGGAACTCCAAAATACAGAGCATTGCAGTATTCCAACCTTCAAATAACAAATGCATGAACTGCCTTCTCCAAATCACAATGTGACAAAAAAGGTTTCACCTTAGATAAAAGTCTTAGGTGAAAAAAAACCACAACTTAACCACTGCCCTAATCTGTTTCTCAAAAGTAAAACCACAGTCAAAAATTATACTGAGATTCTTTACCGTATCTGACAGGGGGTAGACCGAAGTGCTGAAATTAACAATGTCAAGGTGACGGGTCAGGACTAAAAAGGATGTATTCAGTCTTACTCTCATTTAAGTGCAAATGGCTGCAGATAGCTGCCTCTGTTCTGTACCAAAAAACAAATTCCTTGTGTGTAACATACTTGGCCAAATAAAGGTGATTATCCTTATTCACTGTAAACAAAAATGACTGTAAATGAGAGTAAGAATACAAAGCCAAGCTTATCATACATGGTGCTGAGGGTTGGGTCATCGCTGCTCTATTTGCTTTGTATGAAACTGTATTTCCATTTTTCACTTTCCTCTCTATAACTAGTTATTTGGCTTTAAGATAGAGTGTGAGATCAGAATTCAAATGATAGCTCTCTAGATGGTGTGCTCATCGTAGACCTTACACAGTGACAGTATATTAGAATTGTCGATGAAACCAGAGCAGAAAACTAAGCTATACAATACCACCCTGCTAAATAAACACAAGCTGGTTTCATTCTGCCTACCTTTTATGCTGTAAAACTTCACTGGTGTTTGCACTGGACTCACTGGGAGCTGTGATCCTAAATCCTCTTTTGTCTGTACAGTTGCTGCTGCTGGATACACTGAAATATTTGAAGCATTTTAATATTTGTTTCTTTTCTCTGCCACATTTTATGTTTTTTAAACTGTGTAATTCATGGAAAATGAGTCAACAGTCACTGCTGCTGCCAGTGTTCAACGATAATAATGGTACAAACAGTAACTGGGTGGCAAAGCTACAGGACTGAACCAAGGTAGTTAGTGGAGGGAGACAGAGGTGAGGAGAACAGCCAGATGGCTGTGCTGCTCCACATGTGTAAAGATGACAGAGCCTGTCTTTATCCCTCTGATCTCACAGTTTTTATAAACTGGATGCTTTCACCACTCTGGATAATAAGTTTAGGCATTAAAAATGACAAGCTGCATCTCGCGCCGGACCAGTACAGGACAACAAGACAGAAAAATTTACTTATTGTAATAGTCAATGCTGTATTAGAAGAAAGAGGTGGCAACTGTAGGTGTGTTGGAAGAAATTAGTGGTGTTGCCTTGCATACCTGTTCCTGCCATGGATCCCCTGGTTTAGAACCAAAATAAGTCCAGAAGACTGATGTAGGTACTTAGTTGCTTTGATGCTAGTGTTGTCTCTTGGTAACCGTCATTTTGGTTTGCTTCTATTGTGGCTATTTTCAGTGCAGCTAACAGCACCCAAGTGAAACTTGTTGGTGTGTCTTTCTTCATCCACTCTCACTCATTTAGTCTGCAGGTTTCACATGAAGCCTGCGGGAGACATTGCTTAGATTGTTTAGAATCTGTAGCATATAAAAACGTGTTTTAATGGCAGTTTTAATCTCAGCTTTTGCAGTTCGAAAAGTGTGTTCTGTTAGACTGCAACTTTGAAAACAATTAATAGTTCAGTCCTAGCTGCCATAACATAAATGAATCAGTTCACTTGATTTCATAGCAAGTGTTACTTTGAAACACCGTGACCTTTTCGGTGGCTGATTCAAAACTGTCTAAGCAAATCCTCACACAAAGCACAACACATACTTCCAAGCTGAGTGTGGAACATAACAATAAGACAAAGTTCAAAAGTTCAAAAACAGCAACATCATATTTGTGCCACCACCCAGACATACTGTGAGTCTTTCTGATCCACTTCCAGTCACAGAGCTGCTTTGATGACAGTCGGCACTATTAGCACAAGTTCAGGACTAGCTGCACAAAGACGACCTTTAATGCATTTCAGATGGAAGAATCCAGAAAGCTGTGTACTGTAACATCTGGAGCAGGCTTCACAAACCTCTACTGTCATTCCACTGCAGCTGGAGACCATATCGCCTGGATATTTCCAACCCTGACAGTCAGTAATATTTGACGGCTGGCCTAACCACATGCTTATTTAAAGCACCTGATATGGCTTTGTGTTGCTTGTTTAGACAATGCTAGTTTTGAGTTGTCTGTGAGGCAGTCATAATATGAAGGCGCCACTGTGCTTGCCTGTTCCTATACCTATGTATAGACTAGGATGTTTGCATGACGTAAACAGGCTTCTCTGTGCACCACCTTTCCAAACAATTTCCTGAAAATTTCACTTTAAATAGATTTGGTGTTTTCACATGAAGGAAATTTTGTAGCTTGTCTGTAAAAACTAATTCTTAATAGAATACATTTATCTCTTTCAAAAAAAAAGCCCTTTGTTGCAATTTCTGAGAATTATGAGACCTTGAAATATCTGAAATCAGCACTTACTACACAGAAAAAAGTCTCAACTGATCTCTAACACCCTCATAAGAGTGCTGAGGCCAGTTTCTCATTCTGATTCAGTGTAGTACTGAGTCAAAGACCTGATATTGAAGCCCCTTTTGACCCATTTTTATAAATATCCAGTGTATGTTAAACATATCTGTGATATTTTATTCACCCAAAGTTGCTTAGATTTCTCTAAATCCATCTTTACAAACAACCCGGATTCCCCTCTGTCCTCTAGCAGGCTGTCATTAACATCATTAACATAAAATTTACATTTATCCATGAGCATCTACTCTGATTAGCAGAAGGTGAGATCAGAATATGGCCTAATGGAAAATGTAAATACTCTTACACTGATCTTTACCTTGCAGCTGTAAAGACAATATACTGCATGCACCAGAGTCTGATCCTACATGAGGACACCTGCTATTACAGTGACATTTTCACTGTAGCACTAGTCTGCATTGAAGGTGGACTGATTTTACGCCAGAGTGTGACATCATAGCAGACACCCCTCCCTCTCCAGGCAGGAGATTCAAATTTTTATAGAAAGATGGAGTTTAGTCATTTGATGGACAGAGTTTAGTATTTTGATAGCAGAGAAGGAGCTCTGCAATTAGCCTAAACCATCTCAAAGCTCTTTTGTTTTGTTTGACAATTTACTTAAATCCAAGGTGACATCTTCAAATGTATGATTTCGTTCAAACAGCAGCCCAAAACCCAAAGACATCTGTCTGATTAGATAAAACCACTAAATCCACACAGTTGAGACAATGCTACCAAATACATTTAGGCAATTTTGCAAAAATAAAAACAAAAAAATTATGATTGACAATGCAATGCATTGATTTATTTATTTTTTGGTAGATTGACTCATCGTTTTAGCACAAATTTTCTTTGCGGATAATAAGACACAAACAAAATATTTCTTAGTCATCAAACTTTGAGCCTCATCACCTGTCTCTCACACTGTCAATCAAGAGTCACACAGATGCCTGCAGTGGCCTTAGCTGCTGCTATCCTCCCTATAAAAGCTAAAACACACACCATCACTTACACAACAGCTCCATAAAAACCACTCTGACATCTGCCATAGCCGGTTCCAACTGATGCTCTCTCACTATTGCATTTTCAGCAGCTTATTATGGTCATCAGTTAGCCCACCGGACAGAGACCACGGCTAATGGGAGCACAGAGTGGGATCATGCGACACTGTCAGGCGGAGGCTTTGACCCACCTTGTGCGAGCTGTTAGCCACTACACTAGCGCCATGGATCATTTTGCACCGTTCCAGTGTCTGTTAATCAATTTAGGCCTGGGCTGTGTAGGATGAGGAGGCAGTAATGATGCTCTCTGGACCCTCCCTGGGGATGGAGCATTACAAATAAGCTACATTATTTATCAGCAGGGTCCTGGATGGGGCCTCCATTAGCCCTCACTCAGTGGAGTCACTGGCTATAAACAGAGGAGTGCAGGATGAGTGAGCGTGACAGATAAAGAGAAAAGGAGAGGACGAGAGGGGGGAATGATGCAGCCAGAGAAGGAGAGGAAGAAAGTGAGAGCGACGGCAAAGAGATCTAAGACAAAGTGAGTGTTTTGGAGAGAGAGATGGAGATTGGCCATATAACTGGTCTCTTTACTGAGCACTTCTAGATGAAGTACCTTCAGGGGTCATTATTGAGTAAACAGTGACACTACAAGGATGTAATATATGCTTTTTCACAAATACAGATTGCAGCAGTGCAGCCATGATCTATGAAAGCATCTCTAGGGAAGCATCTAGTGCAAAATGTAATAGCCACTGACGTATTATAAACTTATGAGCTATTAAATAAGGGCTGAGTAAGGCTTGAAATTTTGATACTATTACCACTGTGATACAGAATTCCAGTGCAGATACCAAAACAATATTTTTTTCAGTAAAAATAAAAGTGACAATGACAATAATAGTTGCAGCTCTAGTTAACATGTTTTTCTACAAAACCCTTGTATTCATTTACCTAAAGAAGCCAAATGTCTCAAATATTAAAGTGTACAAGAACTTTTGCCTGAAAAAAGGTCTCAAATTTAAATGTTAACCAGGAAGTCTCTGATCAAAGCTGTTATCAATTGACAGATCCCTTAAATGTAGATATTAAAGAATTGTGAATATGTAAGGAGCGAGATATTTTACAGTTTAAAATAATCCTGTCGGTGCCCTCTGGTGGGCAAACAGGCAATGGTGCCAAACACAAACACTAAAATACCTGCAATACCCAAATACTAGTTGATACTGTATATCAGCCAATTCCCGTTTGTCTGTTAGGCTCAACAATTATTCTTTCTGTCAATTCCAAAAATGTACTGAGGTTCAATAGCCAGCCCGAGTAGCCAGCAAATGCAGATTTTTGTCACAGCGGTTCCAGTCACACACAAGAGCAAAGTTTGGAAATAACCAAAGTCATACATGGCGTGCCGCCCTTAATAACTAGTCATGGCACTGACCTGAGAGGCGTCTTCAGCCCACTGGGGTCACCGTTCCTCATGAGCACCAACACATACACAGTTCCAACCTGGTGAAGATCACAGTAGACAAGTGAGTGAAATTCAACTATCAGCACGACATGGAAAACACTGTATTTTCCAGATTTTTAAAGGCTGAACTGGGATCAGAATCTTCATGTCCCAGACACACCAGTCAACACATGACTACAGACATAACTAGCAAACACATGGGGTTTCAAGCAGCTATCTCAACCATGCTTGGCACTCAGTTTTGGGTTAGTGTTGTGTTAGGGCGGATACCTCACCCTGACACACGGGAGCCTACAGGGTCCCGACCGTACAGGCACATAGGAGGGTTTGACGTTGTTCGCTACCATTGTGACCAACTTTCTGGACACATGAATGGTGCTCACCTATATTTACACCTTGTAGCTGAGTAGTTGTTTTTGCCTTTGCTATGGTTGTAGATACAGAAAAACAGATGCATTTATTTAAGAGCCTTTGCCCTCTTACTAATTCTATAAAAACACCATTTGTTTAAATTTCTGAGAATTTAAAGCCACATGCTGTGAGAATGCAGGACAATAAAACAATTGGAAGTAAATCACAGACAAGGACAAATTCCTGTCCTTGGGGTAATCTGATATGTCATCTTCAATAATGTCAGGAGAACTAGCCTTAGCTGCTGTAGGTCTCTCTATTTCTTCTCCCCCTCTCTCTCTCACACACATACACTTTGACACAAATTCATAAAAAGCATGGTGACATAACTAAAACCACACACAGTGCACAGGTCCTGTGAACCACAACAGTGCACCAGTGGAACCTCAGTTAGTCTGCAGAAGACAGTATAGTAACAACAATGTGTAAAAGTATAGCATGTGTGGATTTGTACATACAGTGACATAATATTCCACAGTTCCTTATTCATTATGCACCAATTTAGATTATTGATTGACAAGAGTCTAGTCTTGTAATAATCTAATAGGGTAATATCAGTTTCTAGTTTATTGCCAGACTGCCAGAAAATCAATCATCAACAGTTTTGACTTAAACATTTCAGAAAATGTTCAATGCAAAATGCTAATTACTTGCCGTTTCTTGCTTCTCAAAATGTCAGGATTAGCTTAGATTTATCTCACTATATGAAGACATCGCCCGAATGCTTTAGGAAGCTGTGACGAACGTTTTCACAATTTTCTAACATTTCACAGACAATTAAAAGAGAAACGGTGTAAAACACAAAGAAACCACCAATCAATCCACACCCTGTAGCTCAATACACAAAACTTCCTATGCCATGTGTTTAATAACAGCAGAATAAGCTTTATTCTCTGCTGAAGACACAATTTACCTGCATGTGCTTGATACATCTTTTAGCGTGATTTAAAGCACAATAAACGGTAGCCTATTTGTGTCCCAGCGCTTCTATAATATTCCTAAAGAAATGTACAGTTTTGCTAAAACATGGAGTGCGTTAGCCAATACTTTTACGAGGTTTATATGGTTCATAAGGCTGATGTCTTTTTGAACATTTAGCTAAATCCCAACAACTGTCTGATAGTGTGAGTAAAAGGAAGAAAAAAGTTTGACGGTGCCAACTGACACTCCACCGAGTTGATATCCGCTGGGATCTATTTCTCTACAAACGGAGCCGATAACGAGTGAAAATATAGACAAAGAAGCTTTTCATTTCGCGTGTTAATATGAAAAAAAAATTTACACTACCTTTTCTTTGACTGCAGCTCCCTGTTTCTCTCGCTCGGTCTCCCCCGGTGTGCTCTCTCTGCCCGACCTGGCGTCAGTGAGTCGCGGAGCCGTCTCACCCTCCGCTGAGCGCCAGTATCACGCCGCGGGATGCAGCCTCGACAATAACAAGACCTACTTTTTTCACATCTTAACGCCTTCATTCACTGTGTGGAGATGGATTGTGTAACTGAATTACAAGGAGGTTCTCACCAGAACTGAGTTTATTTTCAAGTGTCTGTGTTTGTTTTTGCAAATTTACCTGCTAAAGACATTGAAATTGGCCTTGTTTGATGCATTTTAAGTGATGCCCATATAACCTCCCTGCAAAAAGACTGTTTTATGCATTCAACTAATTGCACAATGAGGGAATGCAGGAGCTTCTTTAATCAGATTTTTCTTTCTATGCACCTCCCCAAACTAAAAACAATCTTGAATTGGGACTAGCTGAACAAAACTTTATCAGTTCCAAACACAGCCTACAAACTACAGCAGAATAAGAAAGAACCTGCCATTCACTCTTCCTCTCTCTCAAAATTAAACAACTGTTGTTCTCTAAACTTGAGCAGGAGCCTATCTCTTGCAGTAGATTTATTTGAGTTTTTTTTTTCCCAGTTTATCTGCAGTGAACTCCTGGACTGCATGCTGTTAAACCTGTCTCTCAGTTCCCCTATTGCTTTGATTGTGATATGATAAGCACTATTTATGTTGTCAGGAGAACAAAAGTGTCCAAGTGTAGGGTAAGCACAGGAACATGCTAACACATGCCATCATCTCATCATATATTTTGCTCATACAGCCAGCTCAGACCTGATACAGGTTTTTAATTTTGGTGGGTAGCCCATATAAGGGCTTAATTTTGCAAGGTCAAGAGTTAACTTTCAAACAAATCTTCAAACCATCTCATTAATACTGCATGATAATGCAAGAAAATAGCATTCAGGCAGAGCAGCAGAATGAGCATGAGGTGTCATTTCCTCAGATGCTCAATCAGTCCATCAGTGTTGTACGTCACATTTATGGAGACTAGAATAGTTTGTGGTGCGATAGCTCGTGTTTTATCTGATCAAAACAGAGATGACGAGGTGAAACATAAATTATAGACTATATATTGTAAAAATAAACCATGCAGAAAATAGAAAGTACAAATGCCATTTAAGCAGAACTGCAAGAAATGATTACATTCAGTGTGGATTAATTAGTTGATTTTCTTGATTTACCTAACTGATTTATTATAAAATTTCAGAAAATATCCTATAGTGAAAGATGCCTGTTGTGATTTTTCATCTGTTATGCCTCTTATGATTTCTCACAGTCCAAAGTGATGTCTTCAGATGTCTTGTTTTGTCTTACCAACAGTCCTAAACTCAAAGATAGCCTATATTTTACTATCTTCTAGGCTACTGCAAAGAAAAGCATCAAATCCCCACATTTGCTAAGCTAAAACCACAATGTTTGAGGCACTTTTGCTTTATAACATTTATTACAGGCATTAGTTATGGTGAATATAGTGATTCATTAGCTCAGACATAGTTGACATTAACAAGGAAACATGAGGTCAAATAATAGAAATCCTCTTTAAAACCTCAACTGGTGTCATACAAAACACAAGCAAAGTCTTCATAGTTTTTGCGAGTTCATTAGTTAAGTTCAGGGTTGCTGCGGTCAGGGGGACTAGATTATCTCGAGGACGGGCGGAGGGAAACCTTTCAGAGCGGGGGAGGCTTCTGGCACAGGTGACGTCACGGCGCTGGCGACAGAATGTCTGAGTGAGGCGGGATCGAGTGCACGTGAATAAATCTGAGTAAAGGGGGGAAACAGCGCGAGAAGGGGAGAAGACGGGGCGGTGATGATGATGATGGTGATGATGAGTAGGGACAAAAAGAGGGCTCCCCCAACTTTTTTAGTTCAAGGATTCCCCTCTAACAGACACATGCACACAACACGCAGCTGCACATTAGACCACAGACAAACCTATTGCATTAGCCTTGAGAAGATGCCCATGCCTCTGTCTGGCTTTAGGGCATTTTAGCTCATTATAACAATATAAATAACGTAATATTCCCATAAAGACATGGTAGCTCTACTATGATATTTGTAAGCATCACTGTAAGTTTTAACACAGGATTTCTATATAATAAGATTAATCAAAAATATGTAGGCCTACCTCTGAAATATAAACAAGCACGGGTCCATCCTTCAGCTTTTAGCCTGGTCTTGTAGACTCAAAATAAAATTAAAATCACTGTTTATATTTTGCTTGTGTGTTGTAAACTTTTTTTTAATCAAATTGCTTCCATTTGTTAAGTAACTGATACAGAAAACCTCAGCTAAGGTAGTATTATTCCATCATATGCAAACTGTAAGACTATAACCAAGGATTATTGTCACAACAGTTATCTGACAGCTATAGTTAGAACACATGATAAACTCATAAAATATTATGCTTTACTATAAAATAGGATATCCAATTATATACTGCATTAGGTTATTTATTTACACCTCCACCAGATACATTAATTAAAAGTAATTGCAATTACAAATTAAAAGTCATCTTGTAATAAAACATTTTGCATTTAGAAACTATGACTATTTCTTCCACCACTGTTTTCTATTATGGGCATTTTGCTCAAATGAACTCCAGAACTGTAAAAATAGTCATACTTGCACCCTGGGCCTTGCAAGGAAGACAAAAAAATATTTTTTGAAAACTGCTGTTTCAAAGCTACCTCCACACTGCCATAAAATTCTGGTAGAGTAATACTGTAATAAATCCTTTATTTACTAACTTTATGGCCTATACACTGAGTCTGCTAAATAATGGAATTATGCCATAAAATATCCCCCAGTGTTTTATATTGAGCCGTTCAGTGTAAACTGCCAGGTTACTAAATCCCAGAGATTCCCAGAAAAAAATCTGAGGCTATGTCCTCAGTGTACTCAGTGGTATCTGTAATGCTGCTTATATTTTTGCATCTTGGTCAATGAAGTATAGTAATAAACAGATTAAACTGAAACCTCCACTCTTTAGATTATAATTTGGAAACTGTTGCAAGAGGCAGAAACAAAATGCTACAGATGCTAAAAAGATGTGATGGTAAATTTGATTACTTGACAGGATAGTGTTGGCCAATCTCTCTACACACTGCATAAAATAGGCACAATCAAAATATTTGCATTTTAAAGTGGATAACACAAAGTAAATTAGATTTTATAACACAGAGATTCACTAATGCATTTGCTGGCATCAGGATTGTTTGGAGCACTAAAAATAAAAATCAATTGCCTTTGCTTATGTACTTTGGTGTGCACTTACTGTATTGTGATATCAGTGGTGAAGAAGCTACCCAAATAATCACGCAAGATTTTATTCCTGATAGCTGTATTGACTACAGTACATCTCACTTTGCTATTTCACCCTGACAAATTAATAATGCTATTTTGGTAAACAATAGCAATACACGAATAATGCCCCAACACACTTTCTGAGAAGAGAAGATCTGAATTTGGATGCAATTATATGACAACCTCCATTGTTGAGCCATCACACAGCAAGACACTGACTGGGAACGAGAAAAGGACGAGAAGGTCGCCTCCTTCCCATCTCTCTGGTGTGCAACACTCTCACTTGTCTCTTCATGAGCCAACCTTAGGTCACCTGCTGAAAGAGACAAGCATCTTGTGAATATAAAGCCATGAGAAGACATGGGAAGATGTAATGGATATGTTTATTACAACCATGTCATTTTTATTTTTCATACTTAAAATACAGCTAAACATGTTCCAAGAATGTAGCAGACTTAATTAAGATGAGGGTCATGCAGATGCAGGTTGGAGACATGATGCTTTGCCAACCTCACGAATGGCAAAACAACTTTTTACACTACCTCTGGTTTAGCTGGGTCATCCATCATTCACAGCTGGCAGTGATTTCAAACCTGGCAACAATCCTTACTGTAAATTGTTGCTGCACAATAGTAACAGAAAAACCATACAAATCTTCTGTCAAGAGATTTAAAGGTCACAGTTTAAAATATTATACCAATTTTACTGGACTCTTAGAAGGTTATATAGAATGGGACTATTCAAATGGATGGATTGCTGGGAATGTAGAGAACTGAAGACGCTGAAGACACGTGAAATACACATGTTCTGGACATCAAGTGATAGCTATGTTGAAAATGAAATATGTCCACCACCAGTCCGCCGGTGGATGTTTTGGGCTGAGTCAGAGGTGGTGTGGTACATTTTTCATTGTTCTGAATATTTATTTTTGGATTGATCCTGTTGCTATAGTTTGTACTATAGGAAAATCTAATAAAAAACACAAATCTAAACCTCCCAGGACCTAAGGTCAGTTTCTCAGCTGTAGTTTGTTTGGTTTAGTTTAGTTGGTACCACCACCTTTTAAGCTCACTCACAAAATGCTGAACTAGTCTCTATGTTAATACTGAATGTAACAAGTCCTGACTTTCAAGCAAAGTGTAAAGTATAAATGCCTTTGGTTGCACAATTGTGGACATTCCATTTCTTATCCTGCCACCTTAATATGCCTTATGTGCAGTATGTTTTGTTTTACTATCCAATGCAGAAATCACAAGAACAGGAAGGACAGACTGCTCCAGCTCTTGAAATAGCCCTCAACCCAAAAGAGGACAAGAAACAAGGAAAGAATAGACAAGATCAACAAGCTGCCTGTAAAGTGTGCAGACATTAGCATTTGAACCACTTAGTAGTAGGCTCTGTTAGGTCAGGGTTCACACAGAGTGGGAGCCATTTAGAAACCCTGGAACGTTGCCTGTCTCTAACCAGACAGAGGAAGAGTGGACTCACAGATTAGGATTGATTACAACATTAACTCCATAGACTTCCATGAATTAGCACGGGGTTGAAATGCTTAACGATGACTGACACACGTATTTAGATGACACCCCTTCACATATGCAATTCATTTCGCCTTCCCAGGGCTCTTGGCAGGCTCATCGAATTTTTTGCAGCAATGTGAGGCATGGCAGCAGCGCATCAAGCCAGCTCACATTTCAAACGGGTGGCTCATTTGGCACAGCTTTTTTGTGAGTCCTTCTAGAAATAATGTCTGGGGTGGTAATATTTGAATGCTGTCTCCAGGGGCTCTTCATTGCACGGAGACAGAGGATGCACCAATCAGAGGGTGCAGAGGGCTGTAATGGCTCACTGCTTTGTCATTTAATGTTTAAGATACTGTATGTTTGTTTGCTTTTCATTCAGGAGTAGAACTGATAACGTTTGTACATGCTGAGTAGACGTGGCTTATCTGACACTTCCTCTTAGTGTATCTCAGTCGCACTTGATTGATTGCACTCACAGGTCTCTTAGAGGTTTGATCAGTGCCCTATCACTAGATGATGGTGTATTTTTAATTTAATCCCACTGTGTAAAATGAGACTCCCTTGAGGACAGTGTCTGCAACCCCCACTACCATCTCATACACAATTCTCTTCACCCCAGCAAAAGGACTCCCTGGGCTTTGTACAGGGGGTGGTCTGCCCTGTTCCCCTCACTTGTTTTAGTAAGTAGAAGTGACTTTGGGAGGGGAAGTGTTTGACAGCAGCTGTCACAGTCACTTGTTAGATGGGGCAGTTAACCCTAGATGGCACAGCTGTCAGTCAAAGTAGTCCTGGCACTTTTTTTTTTCTCAAGGGGGCGATGACATTCTGAACCAGCTGCCAACACTTGTCTCTGGGTGGACACATGGCGGTGTACCTGTATGTTAACCAGCTGTCCCTCGCTCTACAGGTGCACTCGCAAAGGATTTGTCATTTAGTCAACAAAACAATTGCTTCCTATTTTAATAATAAACACTGTGTTATATGGTACTACCTGTGTTTCTGTGAATTTACTCTCATTTTGCAAAAGACTGGCATCTCAGTTTGATGAATGAAATTTTGGCTGAAATGTTACACCTTCGAGCTCGGCTCAGCAAAAGCTTTCTGGCAACTGCAGAGCACATTTTTGCATTAAAGACAGATTTTTCAGCCAGTTTTGCCTTTATCAGCAAAGAAATAAATGATAAAACAGTTGCATTTTTATGGCAGCTCACAAGCTTTGACAATTTGCCTCTCATTCGCTCACACAGATGGCAGCAAGCTCCCATGCAAGGTGTTGGGCAGCATGAGGAGCAAGATTGGGGTTCAGTGTCGGGCCCAAGAATTCACTGCCAACTGGATAGGAACAGCTGGGCCTTGAACCTTCAACCTTGTTATCAGTGGATGACCCAGACCCAGATGGGGGTAGGTAGCAGCTGTGGCTCCAGAAGTAGAAGCAGGAGGTAGGATAGACTTCCGAATTATCATGACTACAATGCTTTGACAGTACTACACTTGATAACAGTCACATCAGTACAACTAATAGATACCAGATGCACCAGCTCTGCTTTGTTTCATCATTTAGGTTGATGATACTGAACAGAAATACAAGAACCCCAACTTTTGTAGAAAGCTTTGTATTCACATAGGACCCCTTTAGTCCTAGTAAGAGGCCGGCTGTAAAAACAGGTTTTCAGGATTTAAATAGCAATTAAAGTTTCTGAAGAAATGTACTGTTTTGTTTAAGATTAGTTTGACAACATGTTTCACAGTGTACTAGATGTTAGATCTATGATTGGTGTAAGTGCTGCAGATACTAAGCATTCTGATATAACACTGAAGAATGTCAAGGTCACACTTCTAAGCAGTACATAGAGTATTTTGCTGGATCTCCTTGCCAAAGGTATTTACATGCTGCCTGGAACAAAAATATGGTCTAACAGTTTCAAAATTCCCAAGTCAGTTAAGGGGTATACATCTGTACAATTAATTATACAAGGATAAACACAAACCTTTAACTTGTCTCTTTTATATCACAAATATCCTCTAATCATACTGAAGAGAGGATTCTTGTGTAATGTCCTGCATCAGATCAAACCTGCATCCTGCTAACCAGATCATCAAACAGATGTTCCCACTGTACACCCAAGCTGAGGTCATACCTCGGGAGAGAAGGGGGTCTGTACATCTGGAGTTGGCTGGAGCATTGTAAGCGATAGCCATCATGACATCACCTCTTCCTAGTTTGGCCTCCGAAGAGAGATTTGTAGGGCAAAAATAGACTGCTGCTCAAACAAAGCTGATGACTGATTGTTTGCAGAAAAAATGATTATGCTAGTGAATAAACCCCAAGGACAGTTGAGGTCACACGTCAAAGAAAGAGAAGAAGAGCTGTAAATGGAAAAATCAGATCACTGTATCAAATGTGGGCAGAGAATGGTACAATGGAGCTACTCCATTGTTTGAGGTGCCTGTTGGAATATTTATAGAATATAGTGTTGTGTTTGCACTTTTTATTTATAAGCTAATTTGAACATAACTTTGACAATATCTTATTTTTAAAAAAGGAGAATAGCTGTGATTCTGTACTAGTAAGTCAAAATGTTCTGGAATACATAACAATAAGGCACTAAGTTGGTCTAACTCAGAAGGTGATGAGCTGGTACAGTACTGTGACAACATATGCAACTATTTTTTCTACCAAATTACAATTGTGGCTGTAAATCGCTAACAAAGAGTAAGAGGGCAGGATTTTATATCATTTCCCGAGCTACTGCTTACCTGAAAGCAAAACAGTAGCAGGTCACAAAGCAATAAATGATGTGAAGTATACAATACACACAGCTAGCTTGGGAATTCCCTCCTCGCTTGCACTTGGGGGACAGAAACCACCCAGGTACTATGATGACATCACCAATCATTACTTGGCTACATAACCACCATGTGACCAAGACAGATGTGTTCTTGTGTGTTCTATGGGGACAGGACAAACTTACTGAATTGTCCAACCTTATTAGATCACTTTCCTTCAGTTCATTCCTGAGTAAACTAACCGAGGCTTTGCTCCTGTGCGAGTGCAGTGTCATGTGTTGCTTCCAGCTGGCTAAGTGCACCACCCATCTCCTCCCCCCACCCCCTCCATCCTCTGTTTAAAGATCAGGACCATTTACAGCGGCCTTTCCTCTCAGGAAAGTAACAGTCCTGTTTTGCCCAGTTGGCTGAAACATCTTCCTTTCACCTGCTTTTCATGAGTTCTGAGGATTAGAGTCTTTTTTCCTTTGACATTTGTGCTAAATGCCAAATGCCACTATGCCTTCTCTTCACAATAAAAGAGTTCTGGTTCTGCTTGTCACCAAGTCCCCAACATAAACTAAAATGTTAATAAAATATACAAATTAATAAAAGGTGCAGCCACATTATGTTTTGACAGAAGCCCTAAGGCACATTTAAACCCATTTAAACCCGTCAAAAATGCATAAGAAATGTAACTGGATCTGCAGCAGTAAGGGCCGAGATATTCCTGATATTTAAAAATAAAACGAGAACAGTTTGTTTCAGGTTATGTACCTGGTACCCATAATTTAATATCTGTTCAACTCACCAGTAACACAACAATCCCTAAAGGTCCCGTGGGTATGTTTCAAATCATGTTGTCCATGGTTTACTGCATGAACCAGAGACACAATCAAAACAAATTTTTAAACCATCAGTCCAAATAATTACATCTTTAGTGGCATAGTTTAATGAACCCCGTTTGTTGCCATTTTGCATACATAAATTAAAAAGTATAATATGAACTTGGAGCAGTACAGACTGGTAGACAAAGGCAGCTAATCTAATAGTGGGTTCTGATCACCATCTAGTGGTTGCTATTGGTCATTACAATATTTTGCCTCAAGGTCAAGCTTTTAGCATCATGTCCAACAAGTAGCTGTAATAGCTCATAAAAATTTTCCAGTGCTGGAAATGCTATTTTGATAAACTTCAAAATTTTCTTAAGCAAATATTCAAGGTGTAAAAATAATGATGTGTAATGAGCAAAATAAGAAAATTATATTCATTATACTTTGTTTAAACAAAATATCAGCGTCTCCTATAACCTGATGCACCACATTTATCATGTTGCTGTTTCAGGATCCTCACCACGTTTCCCTCCTCCACATGTGACTTTGATTGTCCTCCTCTATCCCCGTTATGAAACAAAGGATGATTAGCCATTGAAGTAGTAGTAGTTGCCTCTCTTCTTTTGCTCCCCATCCTGTGAAGATGGTAGATATATCTTTACATGTTGTCCCTGCAGATGTAGATAACAATACAAGCAAAGCACTGTAGCTCTCCTCCTGAGAAATCCTCCAGGGTTTTCTCCCTAGGAGGTGCCACATCTGAGAGAAAATGATGATGAAAAACAGAGAAACAACAACATACTAAGCTGTTATTGGCCAGTATGGTACTCACATTTCCCTAATAACACATCAAGCACAGCTATATGGTAATGGTAATTCATCTATTTGACTCAAACACCTATTTCTAGTTACATAGGGAGCATGGAGAGTCACAGATTATATAAGACTAGATTAACTACAAAAACTCTGAGGGAAATGTAAATCATGTAGAGAAACATCTCTTCTGTTGCTTGTATACATGGAAATAATTTACTGCATGTAGTTGTCTACTAATATATGACATTACAAGATATGAGGAGCCTGGAGAATGGTAGGAAAAGAAATTTAAGGAAAAACTCCCACCCGCCCAAAGGGATTCAGTACACTTCCTGTAAATGGTTGCCCAAGAAAGTTCAGAAAAACCATGCGCACATGGATTTTTTGACAGAAGCAGATTCTCCCTCTTTGCTGCTTTTGTCGTCTTTCTCCTTCTCTTGGCAAACAGGTGTGTCTGATTAATCTCGTCACATTTCCCCACCTTCTTCTTCTTTTGAGGTTGTAAAGATTTATTCTGCACTTTTTCTCTTCCCTCCTTCAGCTACTGTACATATGAATTTGCCATAAAGTACATAAACTGTGTGAATGTTCAAACTCCAGTTACACCTTATTTCACCTAATTTCAATTTTGTTACCTGTGTGTTGCTTTATTTTGGACCATTTCATTTTGTATGCACATCTTCTGGTTTTCCATAAGGTGTCAGTGTTGCACTGCAACGAGTTGGCTTCCCCCAAGAACCTGTGTCCAAAGTGCATTTGAGAGTCTCTTGGCAGCACCTGACACGCAGCTAAACACTGGTACGATTGGATGGAGAATCAGACTCTCACTCAGCCTTCAAGAAACATGCCATGTGAAATGATTTTAACTTTTCCATCAAAAGAGATGGAGAATTTCTGGAGAACATTTAAACCTGAAATGGGAGACCAGTGTTGATTTCTATGTTGCCAAAATAGACAGAGTAAAGTTTAAAGTAAAAGAATATCTCAGCCAATGGTTCATAACATCTCAGCGATGAGACAGACTGCCAGTAGTGGTTGCGCCACGATCAGGTTGAGGTGAGGTTTTGGGGTTGTCGGTTTCTCCTCAAGTGTATCTTAAGTGGAAATTGAGGTTTGGTTTGGCCTGACGTGTGTGGGGCGTTAGATGTGCAGCAGGAAATGAGTAAACTTCATGAGAAGCATATAGTTTCCTTTGCATCGTCAAGGCAGCAATTAGCAGATCAAAATATGCTTGTTTAAATACTGTAAATATGTAAACCATCTTGTTCTCTCAGAACAGTTCAACTGGACATCAAAACAAGCTTACGATCATTCAATTTCAGTACCAATGTAATAAAACAATTTCCATCCACTGAGGTTTTTAGTGCAACAAGTTTTCATTTCTCAGAAAATTGTGTCCCCATGTGCGAGGTAGGGTGGTGTCTAGGCAGAGTGAATGGGAAGGTATTGCGCAACATGACTACACTCCATCAATGTGTCGACGTCTATGTTCTTCAAACGCTGCCCTTGTGAGATCACCGGCCACTGACAGAGAATTGGCTGCAGTCTGCTCTCACTGAGTGATTCCCCAGCAGGACAACCTGCCAAGCAACAAGCTCGCCAGCAACCATCTCATACATTCCTCAACACAGTGATTGGCTGCCAGCTCGGCGAGTCTGGGTGGGTGCCATTCAGTGCTTCCTTAGTTGCCCTAGACACCTGAACTAGCACAGTAGTAGAAAAGAAAGAGAGAGACATGAAATGAAAAAGAGGGCGCAGGGTGGGAGTGGGAGCAAACATCTACTGCAGCTGTTGTAAGCTTTTCCACAACGATTCCACTGTTCAAGCTTCCAGTGCAGCACTAATTAAAACTGTGCCCATCTCTCTTCTTGCCACTGCTTTCCTTAGACACTCATAAATATGTACAGGCGCATGTTCAGACACATGCTGCCAGACACATCACGGCCCTTCGATCCCTGCTCATAACTTCAAAAGCAGCCTCCTACAGCACATTTAAATTTAAAAGACTGGCCACTATTTGATGTGAGCAAGATTTACCAGTTTTACTGTCTTGCCTCACTGATTTAAAGCTGCAATAGTTCATTAGTTGCCACTTGGGGGCAGCAGAACTAGCTGTACACATGACATATCATGAAGTTTTGACAAACATGCTAACGGACAATTGCTAATTTACAGATCTGGCAGACACAAGGCAACGTTATATTGGTCATTCCAGACTATTGATTGGTGCAGCTTTAGTCTTTGTGTATTTGATCCCTTTTGACTCTTCCTTTACTTCTTCTTTACTTTTCCTCCTTGTAAAATTTAGGTAAAAGCTTTGGAAATTATCTGCATGTTCCCTCATCTATCAAATGACAAGCATAGTTATTTTCATTATTGAATTATTCATCGGTTATTTCATTGATTAATCAACGAACTTCAACTTAAAGCCTATAGAAATTCAATGCATTGAGGTTTTAATTGTTGTTTTAATGTGAGTTCAATTGACTAAATGTTTCAGCAGTAGCACAAAGAAAATTTTTCTCTCTCTATCTTGGAGACATATTGAAAAAGAACAAAAATATATTGCTTTTCTTCGCAGTTGGGCCCTAATTGCTGCACAAAAGAATAACCAAATGTGCTGGCTTCCAGGAGAAACCTTTGGCCCCAGCCGCTGCCCTTCACCTTCTCCAGAGTGGGCATTCCTTTATAGATTAGCTGGAGATCTTTCCTGTTCTATCGAGGATAATCCCCCGATCAAGGCTAATCAACTCTCATGATTTAGGCACAGTGAATTCAGGTCAAGTTTCCTCTTTCATGTTATGATTTGGCTGTTCCAGTTGTTACAGTACGTGTAACCTCTGAAGAGAGAAGAAAAGAGGCCAACTTTTTTACTGTTCAACCAGAGTTTAGAGAGTGGATTGAAACATGAATTAAGGTCAAGGACACACTGCAGCTCAGACCATTTGAAAGAAAGGGACGAGAGTGCATGTGTGAGTGTGTGCATGTAGCCTGAATAAGGGTTTCTGGGAGTTAACTTTTTAGGATGTTTGAGGTCTTTTGGGTATTTCCACTTCAGGTTTTCCTCCAGCCCCACACACACTACCCACCACATAGCAGAACATTCATCAGGACTGCATTAGTATGAATGAGAATTACAAGAAAGTGCGGGTGCACAGCACTTTTTTCCCTCCCAGGTCACACAGAAGAGAGCGTCTCATGTATTTACTCCACATAATGTGATTTAAAAGTGACTGAGAGGACAGTGCTGCCTTTAAGCTGACAAGAAGCTTTAAATTAGCAAAACTGGGTGAAGTGGGTTAGTTAATCTGTTGTGATGTGATTCTGTTTTCATTTCTAAATGGAAGCAAATGAGCATAGTTCAATTCATTTAGTCAGTTTTTTTTTTTTTGGCAGAGATTCATGAATGATATGGCAACAAAACCAAAAAGCTTAGCTTTATTTCGTTCAGCTCACTGTAGTTATTTTCAGTGGTGTATAAATGAAATCTGGGAGGACTGCTGTAGGCAGCGAGCTGTCACACTCTCTCTGCTCTGTTGCAGATTTTGTAGGCAGAGACAAGCAGAAAATAGCTTCCTAACAAGATTTATAATTTTATGCCAAGAGTTCAAACTTTGGCTCATTCCCCTGAGTGGGATTGGTCAGCATTTGTAATTTAAATTCATTCATGGAAACAGTGCACTGTGTCCTTCCTTATAGTGACTGTGTTAGGAGTTGTGGGTCCAGTAGGGACATAATACCAGAATTAGCTGTGGAAAAGCCTCCTCTGATGGAGCACAGGGAGAAAAGACTGGCTTGTTTCAAGCCAAAGTGAAAAGGACATTATGGGTAAGAAAGGGGTTTTTAGTGGTTTTACAGTTCAGTGGTGGTGTTTGAAAGCACAGTCTTTCAGCAACGTGGGTGGCACAGTTGTTCCTCGCATATCTGCTATAGTATTGTCATTGGCTCTGTGCACTTGTCAGCATCATTTCTCACTTTCTAAAGATAAATGTTGATTTTGCTTTATATAAGGGGAGCCAAGGCAGCAGCACTTGGATTCGTAAAATGGCCGTGGCTTCAGTGTGAGAGCTTGTGACACTGCAGATGTCCGAATTCCTCTGACATGTTTATTGTTTTCTTTTATTTTGCAAGTATTATGCACAGCACCAGTGCCACTGTTCCCGTAGCTACTCCTCAATGAAAATCTTGTGTGTCGTGTAAACAGAGGACAAGAAAATAACAAGCACAAGAAAAGGGAAATTTTCTAGCCTGGCATCGTCCTCTTTTTTCTCCCTCACCCACTTCAGTGTCCCCACCACTTGTTGTCCTTTATTTGTAGCCTAAGTGCTTTGGCATTAAATCTTATTATTTTTTGGTAAATAAACCAGTTCCTGGTAGGAATTACACACAACTAGGTGTGAGGTCCTTTTCAGAAAGGGGCCTGGATCCTTTTATCTAAAATGTTTTCTATTTCTGCTTTTGTAAGACACTTTTGACTGCTTTGAAAGAGAGAAACCAGGTTTTTCTTGCGTTTCTAGGGGTGAGGTTGGGGATTTTTCTCAGCATTGTGGTGAGATTTATTCGAAGAGGCTGCATTTTTTCCTGATTTCACTCTTTGTTCTCTGTAAGTAGTTCCAGGTCCCCCTTCAGTCTCTGTCTCACACACACTCATCCATGTGTGTGTGTGCAAACGTGCACAAGGCTCTGTGATTTTGCACGAGTGTATACGTGTGTGTGTGTGTGTGTGTGTGTGTGTGTGAGGTTGAGGCGGGACTTGATGTGACACCTGCTGTTGGGATGAATAGGGTCAGTGGCAGGGCCCTTCAGCAGGCAGC